GGTCAGAAGGCCCCCGGGTTCCTCCCCTCTAGGGATGCGCTGGGCCCGCCGCCCTCTTTCCACGTGGTGTTAGCTAAACAACTTAAAAGCTGTAATTAAGGAAGCTAAGGAAAGCATAAAGAAATGTTTATATTTCCAGAAATTAAAATTTCAGTGACGAGGCGGTAAATTAACTTAATCAAGTTGGGAGGCATCTATGAGAAATGATTTTTTATACGATTTAATGAGAGAAGGCATCGGAAATGGTGATTTTAATCAGCCAAGTGGGATTTTTAAGCAAGAAGATCCTGCTTAAACAACTCATTAGACTTCTCAAAAAAGTCTTTACTGTCCCTGCAGACATTCAGAACGAGATTTATTGTATATATTTACTAATTCTCTAAATCCCTTGGAAAATTGCATATCAAAATTCAACTGATTAAAGCAGAAAACAAAGTCAAAAAAAAAAAAAAAAGGTCTTCATAAGCACCTGATAAAGAAAACCAAGAGGCTGTAAGTCCCTCTCAAAAGGCAGAGCTGACTCAAATCAAATGCTATTAGGGCTCCTAAATCCTTATTTATTATGAATACAAGGGCTATATTAGAGTGAGAAATACTCAATACCTTCTAATACTTTTTATAATTTGCAAGACACTTGCACCCCGGCCCGCACCAGGCAGCGACACCGGAGGAGTGGAATGGGAATAACGTGGGAAAGGGCGAAGTACAGGGGCCCCTTCAGACCCTCGAACTGCGCTGTCGAATTGGCAGAACCTGCCACGAAAAGCCTCTCTGTGCTCCGATGGGAAACGCGACAGTATTGCTAAATATATTTCAAAATCATGATTTATGGAAGCATTTCAAAACATGTCAAGAGCCCTGAATCCACCCCATCGATCCTTCCGGTGACTTTAATTCTCTCATCTTTTTTATACGTTGAACCAGAAGCCCGCGTTTATTTTTTACAGGTGTTTCTGCCTCCTCCAGTTCCAGACTAAAGGCCGCTCCTGTTGTGTCAGTACAAACAGAAGAAAAGACGTGCTAAGAGTATAGCATGAAAATATTTTTGTTATTTATTATTATTCGCTTGCCATCTAATTCCTGACACTGGGGCCAGCAGATCTCCACAGGACACGGGAAAGGTGCACGAGTAGCTCGGCTCTTTACGAAGGACGTTGTAGATCTAAGCACAGTTTCACAGCGCTTTTCGGGCAGACACAGAAAATAATTTACTTGAAAAACCAAACCAGGAGTGTAGGCTGAAAACACCAGCTCCCCCCCTTTAAACTATGCGAGTTGAAGAACTTTGATGAATATCAAAGCCTTTTTCGTTCAATTCCCATCAGCAAAGATGCAGGGTAGGACTCTCCTGCAGCCCAGGATGTGGCAGAGGGGAGCAAACAGCGCAATAATTCCTCTGCGCTGCATTTCTGGGATGGGTAAGAAAACAATTTATCTCCATGGAATTGATGCTCTTCACGAAAATTTTACCGGAAAAAAAAAAAAAAAAAAAAAAAAAAAAGCAGCTTTAGAGAATTGGCTGTATTATAAAAAATATTCTTCAGAAAGAAACCAGATGCCAAGGCTGCATCCTTGTACCAACTCCTCCGCTTTCACTGCGTTCTGGTGTTGAAGTACAGCCCTTGGAGTTTCCACGTCCAGTTCAATCTAACGACACAAAACGATGATGATTTTTTTCACGCAGTTCTCAATAGGAGAGGAACAGATAACCACGGCAAAGGCCAAAGGTAGAAAGTTCTTCGCTCTGCACTAAACATCTATTTTACTCCTGGGGTGCATTGCAAGAGCAGGATTGTAGAAGAAGCTCGCTCTCGGGAGGCTGCTGTCCTATCTGCACGGGTTTCACTCATAATTAAATGAAATACCGCTCCCAGTAGGATGAACGGGACGTTGTGATTGTGCTTCCAAACTCCCAAACTCCCACCCCGAGGCAACCCCACGGAGGTGCAGGGCAGCAGCCACCAGAAAGGGGCTCCCGGGCAGCTGGAAGGGCTGAAGGCTGCAGCATCGCCCCAGGTACCGGCTGGGCTGGTGCTGGAGGCACAACCCCCCCCCCCCAGGTAACTCTGAGGCAAACAGGCTGAGAAAGAGCGAAGGGCTGGGGGGGGGGGGAGAGCGGAGCCCCTCCAAAACACTCCCAGGAATGAAATTCCAGCCCCGGGGTGAAGAAGGGGGAGGCTGGAGCTGCTCAAGCGGCCGGATTAGCCCAGGGTGAGGCTGGGGCAGGGAGTCCTGTGAAGGCAGGACGGCTCTGCTGGGGGGCAGCCCGGGAAGCCCCAAGGGCCACCTGGGGCTTCCTTGGCCACCCAATTCACATTAAAGTTGGCAGCACCTTTCCCCCTCCCCAAGAATGGAGGGGGGGGGCGCGGAGCGAAGCAAGGGAGGCAGGATAGAAAGAAGCGAGCAAGCAGGAGGGACGCATCCCTGAAACTCAGACAGGACCAACGCAGGAGCCTGGACCCGTGATCTCTATTCCTCTACCCTCTCTCTCTTCTTTTCTTTTTCCCCTTTTTCCTTATTACCATTAAGTAATGCAAATCATACTATCACTCGCCATAATCCGTCCTATACTTAGCCAGTTACCGTATATCCAATTATTGGAAAATAAGAAACATTTGTGCATGGACTTTGAGACTCTTCTCACCGTTCTCTGCTCCGTCAGGATTTACAAGTCGAAGTGACTCGTCTCCCTCCTCTGCACGGGACGTGACTGGACCGGACAAAAAGTAACCCCAGACCCCTCTCCCATCCAGCGCACTCCCCGCTTCAAGCACCCGCAGCTGCAACTGCGGCTCGTTTGCCAACCAACCACAGTTTATTTAATCGTCCTCCAACCTACTTCCCGCAGGCCACGTATCCATCCTCCGCAGGGCTCTCCCCAACCACCCGCCGACCAGTCGGGCTCAGCCCCTGCTCCCTCTCCAGCCACACGCAAGCAAAATTAATTGGAAAAGCCTTTTCAAGCGTGTGACCTACTCGCCGACTCTCCGAGATGAAAAAACAAAAAGCAAGCAAACAAACAAACAAACTAAAAGCAACCACACACAAAAACAAACAAACAAACAAACAACAACAAAGCATTGCTTTTATACCTAACCAAAAATAGCACCCTGGTTTCCAAACAACTGCAAGTTATTTCTGTTCTTTCCACGCCAGCAGACATCCCAGACTTGCATTGAGCTTCGGACAGCGGGTGCACACTACAGCAAGGGCAGGTGAGGGCCTTGCACCGAGGAGGAAGAAAGCACAGAGCGAGTCTCCTATCACCTTTATCTACGAAACAGCCCACAGAGCAAGCTGCGAATTATTTCACAGTATTTCTAATAATCGCCTTCAAGTGATTGCTTCTGCTCTGGGGTGGCGGTGGGATGCCAACCGTGAGGTGAGACAGCTCAGATGGAAGATTTCTGCCACGCGCCGCCACCGCAAAGGGAAGCAGCCTGCTGGGTGCAACACGTACTATCGCCGCGGGGGTTGATGCCTCCTGACCTTCAGCCAGCCCAGCTCCGGCGGCCCCACTTCCCAGCATCGGACTCAACTTCTCAGAAAACTACTTCCGACTTAAACCCGTTTTCTTACCTTAGCAGAGGCGTTCAGCTACGTAACCCGTACGAAACACTTCCCGTTTTTCTTGCTATACGACGCGCATTCACGCACACCGAGCGCCCACGCCTGCGTGCAGAGGTTACCCCGTGTTCCCAGGGCGAGACCTCCACCTTGCTGAAAGCGTTCTGGCGTTAAGGTGAAAGGCTGGGGAGGTGGAAACCGCCGTAAAGATTCTGCTGGGGGGGGGGAGCACTGGGACGGAGAGGTGGGTCCTGACTTTCTGCAAGTTTAAAACCTACCAAGTGCCCGCCCCTCCTCCCTTAAAATCAAAGGGCACCCATTAGATGGGATGACCCCCCTTCCTCGCACCTGGGCTTGCTTTCCTTACCTCGGCCAGGCTCAGCAAAGGCTCCCAGCTGGAAACCATCCGTGGGGAGGGCATGAAACGAGACTCCCCACCACCTGCGGCACCTCCGCCTTCCTATTTACATCCTCTTCCCATCACTGAACCCAGTTCCCCTCCAGGCCACCTGCTCTCCAGCTCAATACCCTCTTCCTCTCTCATTTACTCACATTTTTAAAGATTTTTTTTTTTAAAACTTTAAAACCCTTTCATCCTTCCATGTTTTATCAAGATCCAGCACATTTTGCTCTATTTTACCCAATATTCATCTCATCTTCTAAAACTAGGTCACAAAATTTGCAAGCTTACGTGAGTTAGGCTTTACAGATTCAGAAAATATCTCCTTTTTTTTTTTTTTTTTTCTGTGTATAATTTCTAAGTCTGAGAAATTTACCGAAATAAACTCACCGTATACAAACACACCGCTTCGCTTTAAAATTCTAATGAGTCATTTAACAAATTCCTTTTCTTCCATCATTTCTGTTTCAAACCCGTTCTGCCAGGAAAGGAGACAACCTGGAGTTCTCTGGTCTGCGTGTCAGCCCTGAAATCCTCACGTGAGCCAGCTATGCTAACAGTAGGGATTTTTTTCTTGAAGTATCAGGGATATTTTCTTGAACAGCGCGGACGGGTCGCTTCTGCTGCCCCCCCAGGGTACCAGGCTGAGTTACTAAAATACCACACCCCGAGGCTCCTGGACGTGGCCTCCTGCGCTCGAAAGCCACCCAGCTCAGCAACGCTGGGACACCACAGCATTCAAACCGAAAAAAAAAAAACAAAAAACAAAACAACCCAAAATATTCTGAATATCTGACCCCGCTGCGGTGCCGTATCCCCAAGCCACGGTGGCCACCACCACTGAGGTTTCTCCTCCTTGCCCGGAGCGCCGAAGCCACGTTGCCAAAAAAAATCCCTCCCAACCTTCTCCCTCGGTAGGAAAACACGCCTTCGGCCACCCCGGCGCGCTCGCCGGGAGGATCAAAGGGCAATCTGATTTTTTTACCGGCGAGGGCGGCGTCTGCTCCGCGGAGCATCCCCTTCCTCTACTCACCCGTCGTCTCCACGATGCCCTCCAGGATGACGACGATCTCGAACTGCTCCGTTTGCATGCTGCGCTGGGAGAGGTCGTAGAAGGGGCTCTTGGCGTCTATCACGTGGCAGATGGTGAGCGGGGACACGAGGAAAAGCTGGTCGGCCCCCGTGCTGAAGCCCACGTCCAGCTCCAGCTGATCCAGCGGGAGGAACTCGCCCTCCGGGGTCTGGCGGGACTGGACGGGCAGCGAGGGGAGAGACAGACAGAGAGACGTCACCGCCGGAGAGGCCATCACCAGAGCATCCCGCGTCACCCGCGGCGCGAGGACAAACCCCCCCTCCGGCCGCACGGCCCGGCCCTGGAATGGGTGGAAACAGAGAAATTCTTCCTAACCGAACCCACACCTTCCCGCCGCCGCAGCTCACCGACACGGGAGCCCTGGGGATTGGGAGCGCTGGGCACCGACCCGCAGCACCCATCCCGCCCGTCACCCAGCTCTGCACGCCATCCCCCCCCCCCCGCCCCCCCAAACCAGGGGGCCCAGAGCTGTGCCCCTGCCCGGGGGGGGGGGGGTGCGTGTGCCAACGAAGGGGGAATCTCCCCTCACGATACCCAAAACCTCACAAAATCCACGCTGCGACACAGCGATTGCAGGTGAGGGCTCGCAGCCACCTCCAGGGTCCCCCCCCCCCTCGGCGAGGGACTGTCCGCGAACTCCTGGCAGAAAGCGGCAGCGATCGGATTAATTACCAGATTTTCCCAAAAGAGCGAGTTCCCCAGCACTGCTTCCCAACGACTGGTGCAAGCCCCGCACCAGCCGAGCTCGCAGTTCTCCGGGGAAGCTTTTCCATCGCTCTCCTTTAGCCAAAAGAAGCCCGGAGAAGGGGATGCTGTTACTGCTTTGGCTGGAGCCGCTTGAGACACGGCAAAGCAGCGTTTCACAGCTCCGCACCACGTCCATAAAATCACGGCTGGAGCTGAAAGCTCAGATTTGGCTCTCGGGCTCATGCCCCTCGTCGCAAGCCACGCTCCACACAGAGCCCTGCCATCAGCACCGCCAGCCCAAACGCTCCCTCTCCCGCTTGGATTTCTCCCCTCCCTTGTAATACATCGGCAGGAACAGAACGTTATAGCTTTTCCCGGTCATTATTTTCATTATACACTTTCCCATTATTTGCTACTCAGGTTTTCAAAAGCAGTTTTGCAAACTGCTGTATTCATCATACACAGCCAAAACCCCGCGTTCAATCACTACCTGAGGCGCCCTTCCATCCTTCCGGATGTGAAACTCCCCATATTTAGCAATACCACTGACTTGATGTGGGATGTTTTAATTTTTTTTTTTTTTTTTTTTTTTTTAAATCCCGTTGCAGGGTGTGGGAGGCTGCTGGGTGCCCCCGGGGCACGGGGGGTGAAGCTACAGCTGAGCCCCCCCGAGGTCGCCAGCAGTTGGGAGCCTAAAAGCAAATGGCAGCAGACAGAGCAAAAAAAAAACGGATTATGCGCCTCGCTTAGGATTTGATTTCTATTTTTACAATTTTCCCTGAACGGTGGCTGGACCTGCAAGAGATCTAATGCCGAACGAACAATCGCGTGCTTTGATTTTTGTGTGTGAAAATTCAGATTTATCACACCTGCCTCTGCTACCCCATCCTAGCGTATGCCATGCAGTTCTAGGCAAAGGCATCAGAGCCAAGAAAACATCTAGAGCACATCTGCATAAATATCCTGCCTGCGGGGTTTTGTTTGTTCTTTCTTTAGAGAGAAGTCTGGTTTTCAATAAAAAGACAAAAACACAGGCAGAACACCACCTAACACCCGTAAGCAGGGCAAGGAGCAGCTCGAGGGAGGGAACTGCTTCTGTCAGACAGCCCGACCCAGCAGCCACGGGGGAGGCGAAGGCTGGCCCAGTTCCGGGGGACACCGTCGTGCCGGGGACACCGAGACCTTGCCACCGGGCTCGGCGCTGGGACAAAAAAGGTGGAAAATGAAAACCGGCCAGCCAAACCCCCCCCCCCCCCACCCACGCGCAGAGGTGAACTGTTATTTGGCAAAAAAAAAAAAAATAAAAAAAAATATTCCTATCGAGCCGACACCTTAACGGATGGAACAGTGATGAAAAAGGAGAGTTATAAGGCAACGTGGTGCTTGAGGGACTCGAGGTCCTGAGAAAAAGGTGTGAACTGGGGGGGTGGGGGGTGGGGGAGAAAATGATGGGGAGGAAAGGGGAAAAGGGGGTGGGGTGCTGCGAGCTGTAACCGCAGCGCCGGGGGGGGACCCTGCTCCCACTCCCACGGCACGGTCACGCTACCACCCCCACCCCCCCCCCCCCACGGGAGCTCACGGGATTCCCGGGGAATTCGGCGTCTCCGTCACAAACACCCTCCTGTTGTAACAGCCGCGGTAAAAACAGGGGTTACGTTATTCAGCTGTGAAGTCTTACACACAAAGTGCGATCGCTTCTGCTCGGAGGGAATTGAGATAAAGATTGAGAGCTAAAATGCTACGGACAAACCAAATATTGTTTTACAACTACCCCTGAGCTGCTGGCAGGACTCAGCCCAAGGCAGGGTGTGAGAACTCGGACTAGTGACTATTTTGCCAAGACATTTCTAGGAAGAAATGACCTTGAGTGATTCTTTTTAACTCAGTGTAATGTAGAGAGGAAAGTACAGGGCGCCTAAGTTTCATGCAAGTTCTTCACAATCCTATTTTAAAAAGTGAAAATTACAGTGAATGCGTCTCTGCATTAACTTGCCGCTTTTAAGGTTTTATATATGTTGGTTTTTTTGTTTTTTTTTTTTTTTTCTCCAGCATGGTCTAAGCTTAACTGGAAAAAAAAAAAAAATAATGACAGTATATTGGGATTTCCAATTTTACAGAGCTTTTGCAAGCAGAATGACCTTTTACAAAAAAAAAAAAAAAAGCAGCATTTCAGCAGAAAACCTGTGAGCAGCCCTACCATTAACCCTGCCCTCCCGGTTTGGCCAGAAACCTGCACTCCCGGTTACATCCACACCAAAGCAGAACCACCCGAGCAGCAACCCCCCCCCCCTCCCCGCCCCCACATTTCGGTGCTCCTGTCCACGCACAGCAGCACCCCCGGGACCTGACATCACTCTCCCTGCTGCAAATCTTTATTTTTAACTCTTTTTTTTTTTTTTTTTTTTTTTTGGCCGGCAGCGGCGAGATGCGCCCTGGCAGAGACACTGGGGAGGGGGCGTGTGGAGCCGGCTGTAACTGGACGCAGGAAAAAAAGCCGCATTTTAGCCCTTTTTCCCCTTCTCCCTCCACGTTGAGGGCTCTGGTGTGGCTTTGGGCAGGGGACGGCGAAGGGCACGGGGGGGACCCCCACGGCACGGTGTGCCACCACGCACCCTCGGCCTTGGTCTAACAGCAACGACACCCCGGGGTGCCCGGCCATGGGGCTTCCCCGAGCTCCTCTCCGTTTCTTGCTGGTTTTAAATCAGCTGCAAAAACCTTCACACACCCCACACCCCCCCCCCGGCTCCGGCTCCAGCGCTGCTGTCACAAAACCAAGAGGAGTGACGGCTACCAAGCGGCTCTTCCACATATTTGAAGCTCAGGATGTTTGGAGCCACACTAAGTTTTAAGCACCCACTTTTAAAATCCCGCCTTGCGGCACCTCTGCTTACAAAAAAAAAAGGGCTGTTTTTATTATTTTTTTTTATTATTATTTATTTTTTATTCTTTAAAGCCACTAAAGAGCGACGTTGGAGGTGACAGTCTGACCTCTCGCTAGTCAGGATGGCCTCGTCGCAGGAGGCGGGTGGAGGGGCCCCGGTGGAAACACGTATTTGGGCCAAAACGCGGCGGCTTTGGGAGCCTCTGAGCAAAAAAGCTGCTTGTGCTTCGCTGGGTGCTGCAGCCGGGGGTGAGCACCCCTCCCACCCCGAGTGGGGACCCCCCACCCCCACCCCCCGGCACAGGGACCCTGCCTGCCCCTGCACAGCACCCACCCTGAGGGCACAGCACCCACCCTGAGGGCAGGGCACCCACACCCCCTGCCACAGCACCCACCCTGAGGGCAGGGCACCCAAATCTCCTGCACAGCACCCACCCTGAGGGCACAGCACCCACCCTGAGGGCACAGCACCCACCCTGAGGGCACGGCACCCATCCTGAGGGCAGGGCACCCATCCTGAAGGCACAGCACCCATCCTGAGGGCAGGGCACCCACCCTGAGGGCAGGGCACCCACCCTGAGGGCAGGGCACCCAAATCTCTTGCACAGCACCCACCCTGAGGGCACAGCACCCACACTCCCTGCACAGCACCCACCCTGAGGGCAGGGCACCCAAATCTCCTGCACAGCACCCACCCTGAGGGCACAGCACCCACCCTGAGGGCACGGCACCCACACCCCCTGCACAGCACCCACCCTGAGGGCACAGCACCCACCCTGAGGGCAGGGCACCCACACCCCCTGCACAGCACCCACCCTGAGGGCACAGCACCCACCCTGAGGGCACAGCACCCACACCCCCTGCACAGCACCCACCCTGAGGGCAGGGCACCCAAATCTCCTGCACAGCACCCACCCTGAGGGCAGGGCACCCACCCCGAGGGCAGGGCACCCACATCCCCTGCACAGCACCCACCCCGAGGGCAGAGCACCCACAGCAACACGCGGGGTGCTCAGCACCCACCAAACACCCCCCCCCCCCCGAGCCCTTCCCACCCCCCCTTATTTCGCCCCCCCCCCCCCCCCCCCCCCCCCCCCCCCCCCCCCCCCCCGCGCCCCCCGCGGCTGCCGGAGCGAGGCTCAGCCAAACCCGCGGTTCTCCCCCGACACGCAGGACCAGTCGCCCCAGTTTGGAGTGGTCTGAAGGTCACGCGTGGGGCTGGCCCCCCCCCCCCCCGCTGCCCCGGAGCCCCAGGAGCCGGCGCACAAACCGCGCGGCGGCCGCTGCGGGCTGGGCGGAGCGCAGTGCCCGGCGGAACCCGCACCCCCCAGCTCCGCGTGTGCGCACAGCCAGCGCGGAACACCCAGCCCGCGCTCAGGAGCGATAATGCATTCTCGATAGAGAATATACTCCTCTACAACATCACGAAGTGTATCTATAGATGTATTTTCACATGGGCGCATATACGGGGGGGTATATCTCTGCATCTATGTCTATATATATTAATATGGAAGTATAGATATGTAATATATATAAATATATATGTATTTATAAATATGTATGCAACATATAATATATATATATTTATAAATGTGTATATGGAATACATGCTCTATATGTATGCAATACATGTAAATATATATATTTATAAATATATATATGTGATATGCGTATATATATGCAATACATAAAAATACATATATTTATAAATATACATGCAATATATGTTCTATATATGTGCAAAAGACGTAAATATATATTTATAAACATATATGTGTAACATATATTCGATGTATATGTAATATACGTAAATATATATATTTCTAAGTATGTATGTTCTAAATACGTGTAATATGTGTAAATATACATATTTACAAATACATATGTGTAACATACGTTCTATATATACGCAATATATGTAAATATATATAAGTATGTATCTTCTATATATGTGTAATATGTGTAAATATATATATTTATAAATATATACATGTAACATACGTTCTACATATACGCAATATATGTAAATATATATTTCTAAGCATGTATGTTCTATATATGTGTAACATATGGAAATACATATGTTTATAAATATGTATGTGTAATATATGTTCCATATATATGCGATATATGGAAATATATATATTTATAAACATATATGTGTAATACAGGTAAATACACATATACAATATATATCGATATCTATTTCTTTACAAGGCTGCTGGTCAATCAGGTGGTTGGGAGCAAACCTGGTGCCAGGCGGGCTGAGCCCGCCGAGCATTGCAGGGCCACGGGTGGGAGTGGGGGCCGGCGAAGCTGCGCCCCCAGAGCGGCGCTGGGGACCCGGCGGGAGGGTGGCAGGTGCCCACGGGGGGGGTGGCAGGTCCACAGGGGGGGGTGGCAGGTGCCCACGAGGGGGGGGTGGCAGGTGCCCACGGGGGGTTGGCAGGTCCACGGGGGGTTTGGCAGGTGCCCACGAGGGGGGGGTGGCAGGTGCCCACGGGGGGTTGGCAGGTCCACAAGGGGGGGTGGCAGGTGCCCACGAGGGGGGGGATGGCAGGTCCACAAGGGGGGGTGGCAGGTGCCCACGGGGGGGGGTGGCAGGTCCCCACGGGGGGGGGGATGGCAGGTTCCCACGAGGGGGGGATGGCAGGTGCCCATGGGGGGTTGGCAGGTCCACGGGGGGTTTGGCAGGTGCCCACGAGGGGGGGGTGGCAGGTCCACAAGGGGGGGGGGATGGCAGGTTCCCACGAGGGGGGGATGGCAGGTTCCCACGAGGGGGGGGATGGCAGGTGCCCACGAGGGGGGGTGGCAGGTCCCCACAGGGGGGGTGGCAGGTCCCGACAAGGGGGTGGCAGGCAGTGTCTCCCCCCCCCCGGCACTTACTTTGAGCAGCTTGCAGCGGATCTGCGCCGAGACCATGTGGCTGTTGCGGAGGTTGCCCACGCGGAACATGAGCGTGAGCTTGCCGTCCCGCATGGAGATGGCGGCGTGTTCGCTGAACATCAGCGTCTCGGCCCGCTTCTTGGGTTGGGACATCTTGATGAACATGCAGCCGATGAGGAAGGCGTCCACGATGGAGCCCAGGATGGACTGGAAGAGGAAGAGGATGATGCCCTCGGGGCATTTATCCGTGATGTAGCGGTACCCATAGCCGATGGTGGCCTCGGTCTCTATGAAGAAGAGGAAGGCGGAGGGGAAGTTGTAGACGTTGGCCACGCAGGGCGTGTAGCTGTCATCGTGGGCCTTGTTGAGGTCCCCACGCATGTAGGCGATCACCCACCACATGGAAGCCATGAAGAGCCAGGCCACGGTGTAGGTGAGGATGAAGATGAAGAGGTTCCAGCGCCACTTGAGGTCCACCAAGGTGGTGAAGAGGTCCGAGAGGTACCGGCTGGTCTCGCCGCCCAGGTTCCCGTGCTGCACGTTGCACCGCCCGTTCTTGTCCACGAAGCGCTGGCGCTTCCCGCGTGGGGCGGCGCGGGGGGGGGGCAGCCCCCCGCCGCTGGCCGCGGTGCTCACCACCTGGTAGTCGTCCCCCAGCTTCCGCCGCAGCGCCGACATGCTCCGCTCCGCGCCTCTCCGCGCCTCTCCGCGCCTCTCCTCCGCGCCCCGCCCCCGCCCGGCCCGGCCCCGCCGCTCTGCGGGCGCGGAGGTTCCGCTCTGCGCGGCCGCCACCCACGCGGAGCCGGCGGCAGGGGCGGGGCGGACCCCGGGGGCAGGGCAGCGCCCGGCCCCCCCTCCCCCCCAACCGCTCCGCCCCTGCGCTCCGCCCCTGCGCACCCTCCCTGCGTTCCGCCCCGTTCCGCCCTTGCGCACCGCCCCGCGCACCGCCCGCCGCACCGTCCAATACACCGCCCCCCCCACGCACCGCCCCTGCGATACGCCCCTGCGATACGCCCCGCTCCGCCCCCCGCGCACCGCCCCGCGCACCGTCCAATACACCGCCCCCCCACGCACCGCCCCGCGCACCGCCCCTGCGCTCCGCCCCGCTCCGCCCCTGCGCACCGCCCCGCGCACCGCCCCGCGCACCGCCCCGCGCCCCGTCCAACACACCGACCTCCGCGCACCGCCCCTGCGCACCGCCCCGCTCCGCCCCCCGCGCACCGCCCCGCGCACCGCCCAACACACCGCCCCCCGCGCTCCGCCCCCCGCGCACTGCCCCGCGCACCGCCCCTGCGCTCCGCCCCGCTCCGCCCCTGCGCACCTCCCCGCGCACCGCCCCGCGCACCGTCCAACACACCGACCTCCGCGCACCGCCCCTGCGCTCCGCTCCGCTCCGCCCCCCGCGCACCGCCCCGCGCACAGCCCCCCGCACCGCCCCGCTCCGCGCCCCGCGCACCGTCCAACACACCGCCCCCCGCGCTCCGCCCCCCGCGCAGCGCCCCGCGCACCGTCCAACACACCGCCCCCCGCACCCCCCGGCCCGGTGCGTTCCGCACCATCCATCCCCTCATCATCCTCTTCCTCCTCCTCCTCCTCCTCACCATCCTGCCCCCCGGGACGGGCAGAGGGGAGCCCCGCGGAGCGGGGAGGGGGGGAAGATGGGGTACCCCGGCTCCTTCGCGGTCCATTTTATTTTCATTTTTTATAGTCGCAGAAGCGGCCGGGAAGGGCTTTCCCCCCCCTCAATCCTTTCACTCAGTGGCTGGAAGCAAATTCCCAAGAGTAACAAAAATGCCACGGAAGCCCTACCGCCAGCAAAGATAATTAACGGGCTTCCAATTAAGTGTCGGTAAGTGGGCAAATTCTGCAAACCGAACTGCCAAAAATAATCTGCAGATGGCTGAAAATGATTCTTAACGTGTTTGTGGCAAAGCCGGGCGGTGCAGCCGTCCCAGCGGGCAAGGGCACCTTTCCCACGCACGGGTATTTCTGGGTCCCGTGGCCAAGGTAATTAGCACAGGGGATTTTAAAAATCGGTGGATTCGAGGATTTCTCGATCGCTAGTGGGCATTTTTTAAGCACTTTGAAAATACTGGGTAAGTTTCAAAAGAGATTTTGGGGTAAAGAGCGGAAGAAAACCAAGCTCCTGGATTTAGAAGAGTAAATAAAATAGAGATTTTCAACGGGTGATGGTCACGGGCAAAATAACCAAATAGCCGAGCAGTAACTGTGTGTAAGGTGTTAAAGGAGGCGGCTGTAACGGTTCAGCAGCTCAGGGTTATGGAAAATAGGTGTTTTAAAAATAACCTGCTCTGCCTTTCGGTTCGAGGAGCTGACCAGTGAAACACGGCCGGCGGCGAGCGCGGGTGGGAGGAAGGCAAGCTGGAGCCCGCGGCGGGGAGAGGCTTGGGCACAAGGACATGAAAATCGTGTCGTGATCAGAAAGTCTCGTGTGACGGATGTTTGCAGCAAAAAGGGACCGGGAATGCATCATTATCTCTGTCCTTGGCAGTGACCCGAGTGCAACTGGGTAATGGTGTCCAGTCCTCGTATCCATCCTTCCATAAAGAGGCGGATGAGAGGGGTGGGGGGAGAGCGGCCACGGGAAGATGAGAAAATGGGAAAAAGCAGCAAGATCCTGTCATGCAGCAGAGCCGTGAAGCACGGGAGAGGAAAAGTCCTTCCAAAAATTCACACAAGTACACATTTTCAAACTGAGAGCCAAAAAAAAAAATAACCCAAACCTGGAAATTCTATCTAGGGTATGGTGGATGTTTGGTCACTGGGGATTTTTAAATTAAATTATTAACAAAAAAAAAAAAATATATATATATATATTGGAAAAGAAGGGGACGATCTAGTTCCGTGGTGAAGCAAGGGAGGTTGGCACAGAGCGTCGGGGCCAGGAGCGGGTCGCAGCGACCTCGGGGCACCGGGCGGGCTCGGCAGCATGTGGGAAATTAAATTCACCCCGGGGAACATGTACCCTGTGGGTTTGAAAAAGCTCAGCTAATGAAGCTGAGTGAACAAAAAGCCGGTGGCTCTGCAGCGCGTGGCAGGCGAGGGGGCGCCGGTCCAGTCCTCGTCCCTACCCCACGCTTTCAGAGCCTGGTTATAAACCTGCCGGGTTTTACCCAAACTGATGGGGTTTGCCCAGACTGATGGGGTTTGCCCAAACTGATGGGGTTTGCCCAAACTGATGGGTTTTACCCAAACTGATGGGGTTTGCCCAGACTGATGGGGTTTACCCAAACTGATGGGGTTTGCCCAAACTGATGGGTTTTACCCAAACTGATGGGGTTTGCCCAAACTGATGGGTTTTACCTAAACTGATGGGTTTTACCCAAACTGATGGGGTTTGCCCAAACTGATGGGGTTTGCCCAAACTGATGGGTTTTGCCCAAACTGATGGGTTTTACCCAAACTGATGGGGTTTGCCCAAACTGATGGGGTTTGCCCAGACTGATGGGGTTAGCCCAAACTGATGGGGTTTGCCCAAACTGATGGGGTTTGCCCAGACTGATGGGGTTTGCCCAAACTGATGGGTTCTACCCAAACTGATGGGGTTTGCCCAAACTGATGGGTTTTACCCAAACTGATGGGGTTTGCCCAAACTGATGGGTTTTACCCAAACTGATGGGGTTTGCCCAAACTGATGGGTTTTACCCAAACTGATGGGGTTTGCCCAAACTGATGGGTTTTACCACGAGGGGAGGCTGGGGATGTCCATCGCCCTCGCTGCTGTCAGGCTGTTTGTACTACACTCATTATTCTGGCTGTTTCTCCCGTTTTTTTGGTTTGGTTTGTTTTTTTTTTTTTTTTTTCCTTTAATGATGTTTTCTAACAGCTCGTGCAAACCTCACCGTGGTTTCCCAGCCGATGATTTCCTCCAGCGATCCGCGCTGCCGCTGCGTGTCCCCAATAACCTCCCCCCCCCCCCCCCCTTTCCCTGCCACGGAGCCGGGACGCGCTTTTCTCCTCCCGGCAGGATCGGGCCCGTCCCCGGGGACCCTTCGCTCCCCCCTTCGCACCCCGGGGCCGGTGCCACCCGCTCACACCCGCTGAAAGCACAACACACCCCGTTTTCTGTCCATCACCGCTTCCCCTTCTTCAGCACCGCTTCCCTAAGCTGTTCCCTGCCACCGCGTTCATGCCTCGGGTTAACTCTTTTATTGTTGCAAAATTAATTTCCTTTTACCAAAACGAGTCTCACTTTTGCTATTTTCTATTCACGTTCAATCTCTCACTTCCCCTACCTTACTTTTCTTCCTGCAGCTCATTTTCCCCCCCTGGTTAACACAAATGCTGGCTGAAGTTCATCCCGAGCTGTGGCTAAGCAGCACCACGCTACCAAAATCCTCTTGGGCCAGAGCCTGACCGGCCCCTCCAGCTTCCCCTCTCCTGAACTGGGATATTTCTTTTTTCTTTCTTCCCAGGCTGGCTTCTTTCGCCTCTTCTTTCCCATCTGGAGTCTAGAAGTAGGCAAAGATTTTATATTATTAACCACAATGTTATGCTCACAGAACTACGACAGTCTAAGGGGAGCTATTTCCTTCTCCTGACTGAAATGAAAATCAAAATTATTACTGCTTTTGAGGAGACAAGCAGATTGACAAGATACTTGTTCTGTCAGTCACGGCGAGGTATGGAAAGAACACGAGCGGAAAGGAAAAAGATAGAGACTAAAAAAAACGCCCTCCATTGTGTGCGAATGGGATTGGTGGCAAGATCACGAGCAAGCCCTGGGAAGTTATTTTCTCCCGGCCAGGCGCCCGCAGCGGGTGGAAGTCCCCGAGTCTGGGGACAAAGGGAAAACACCCGGGAACTAACCGTGTCGTAAGCGCCGATTCCTGCTGCTGGCCACGGGCTGCTCGCCTCACGTCCGCTTCTCGAGGCAACCCAGAGCCCGGCAGCCCCAGGGTCAGGAAGGAAGAACCCAGAACGCTTTTCCTCACCCAAACCACAAGCTGGTTGATTTTTCCCTTTGGGAATCAGGTGTGCCCTCGACACAAACAGCCCTGCCACCGGGACGGGAGGACGCGATGACGCCTGGCGGCGGGATGAAACGCTCATCCGGGTGCAAAGCCACTCCGGAAACCCGGGTGGGGATTTCCCGTTGGGATTCACAGTGAGATCCTGAACGCCCTTGGGTTGCAGAACAGAAGATTCCACCAGGAATCCTCAAATTAGTTCCTAAGGAAACACGCACCGGAATCAGAAACACCGCTAACTGCGCCTTGGGGTGGCCACGGATGGAGGGGGGGGGGAGCAGCTTCCACACCCCACGGCACACGCGTTAGGTTCAGCACGAGTTCTGTCAGAGCTCAGCCCCGTCACGGCAGAGCCTTGAGGTTTCTGTTGAGCCACTACCGAGCTCAGCGAGTGCCCTCGCACCCGAAACTCCAACCCAGGAGTGCAAAAACCCGGTAGCCACGGGCGGGGTGGCACCTGCGGCAGCGACACGGGACGCGGTCCCCGGCGTCTTGCTCCGGGGGGGGGTGGGGGGGGTGGCATTTGGCATCAGCACACCCAGGTCGTGGATTCGCTTCCAGTTTCAGCGGAAGCCCTGGGTAAACCCGAAGAAAAACCCGTGTGGTGCAAGGGGGTGTCAAACACGAGCTCAGGGGTTATGGGCGATCGCGGTGGCCTGCACCCCTGGGGACCGCGGTGCGCGACTTAAACACAGAGTCACGATCAGAGCATCCCGGCCACATCCATCGATTTGAGCGTTTTGGGGTATCTGAGGGCCGAGAAGGAAAACTGGAGGTGAAACTCTGACCCTTTTGAAGCCGGGGAGGTTCACCTGCCGCGGGGCGGGGGGGAA